TCAGTTAGGTGCTATCTAAAGTAATGGGATAGTATAACAAAAACACTCTTGTGATGCCTTGAGAGCGGAAAAATCAGGGAGTGACAACAGCACAGATTTCGCCGAACTCGGTGCTACACCAGAAACCTGCTACTAGGCCGAGCAAGCTAGACTGAATTCGTCGATGGTAGAGTAGGAGTCGACGTTGTCTACTTGGAATTTTAAAAAGCTTTTGATCGCCACGACTATCACGTTCTGTCTTATAAGCTTGGAAAATATGCAATCGGCGACCCCGTCCTAAGTTAAAAAGTAAATGTGAGTCCGCAACGATATTTCTGACCTAATCGAAGTTCCATGTGCCCCACCCCCAGAATTTGTAATAATGTAGCGAAAACGACGCGGGGGGGGGCAGAGCGCGTATGGTCACAAGAACGTGCCAACGACAACTTACAAACCGTACAGCTTTGGACCGTGTTTGCTTCCCACGACGCAACGCAGATGAGGATTTGTGTGATGGGCCATTCTAGCTACCTACGAGGTTGGGTTTCGTGACAACTCCTCCATCTTTCCAGCCAGCATCCGCTTCTCTACGTCTGATTCTGGCTGGCCATGAGTCATTCGAAAGCTGGCGATTTCCTCATCCGCGGCTGCATCACTCGACCCGCGTTCACTCCTGTGGGCTTCCCTAGCGGCGTATTTGTCTGATACATCGCGTTCTCGACAAATGGCTCCTCCACTGTTCTGAACCCAGGCTCGTTACCAGATGCCGCCCCTGATCCGCTTCCGGCTCGATCCGCCACACACACAGAGCCTTGTCTCGTCTCATCCATTTCGCCCGTTGTTGACGCACTACAATCCCGTTTTAATTGTCGTTCCGGTTCACGGGTAGTCACTGGCTTCCTCCGCTCTACAATAAGACCACGTTTATTCCTAGTCTTCAGCAACAATCTCATTGGTGTACTCCAGTCAAAAGTTCTACTATTTGCAGATGATCGCAAGATCCAGCGCTATGTCAAGACAGTGGACGACCACACGGCACTGCAGAGATGTCTACAGAAAGTATATGTGGTCATCTGAAAAGCGGCTCCCTTTCAACGTAGCGAAGTGCAAAATTGAGCATACGCCATCAGCGTACCTAGAAATATCGACTTGGGGAATGACAGTTGCAAGGCGCTAAACGCGAAAGCAATCTCGGAATACTTGTGTAGGGTGACCTTGACTGTTCGAAACCGGCCGAGAAAACATAGGGAAGAGCTAGTGAGCAACTTATTCTATTATGGATGACGTTCGAGAAGCTTCGAACTTATCTTTCCGCAAATACTGAAAGCCTACGTGAGGCCTGATGTTGAAAATGATATCCAAGCTTGGTATTCCTGGCTCAAACAAAATGTTGATGCGATTCAGGGTCCACAATGTAGAGCAAAGGAAAGATTTTAAGGGCTTGTTTCAGTTCTACAAACATAATTAAAGCCTTTGAATCGTACAGGGGTGAATGTCAACGTCTGCGCGGTGATCCCATTAGAATGTACCAACTACTGGCGAACGCCAATCCCGCCTATCACTATCTGTTGCAACGCAGCCACAATACCAAACTAAGAAGCCACTGGATCAAAGTGGCTACTCATTACAGTCGAAACGATTTCCAGAAATTGGTTTTCTCTTCTAACTATCGTCACCCTACTCCTGTAGTAAAAATCCTCAAAAGATGTCTCGCTGACATGCCTCGTAATTTGCATTAGATGATATAGTCGGCTTCAATCGGAATGCAAAACAACACAAAGCAGATACTATGCCCACCATTCCTCTTTCTAACGTAGCCGTAAAGAAACCTGCATACGTGTTTATATGAATAGCCTGGTTAGCCATAAAACACCGGGATCTTCCATTTCCCGGTAGTTCTACACCTGTAGCTTTACAATCCACACTCTGGTCGTTCCATGAGACTCACCATTTTGGCCGTCAGCGATCACCGTTCATTGTCTATTACCTTGTTACCTTGTTGGTCATATTAAAAGATGCACTGATTCCATCAAAATATAAAATGCTTATGAAAGCGGTAACCTGCTGAATACTGAATACTGAAATTAGAGAGCGCGAAAATACAACTCTGTGTTGCTCCGTCATAATGAGATCGGGCACCTGCATGGAATCAAGTCGCTGATCTTGCGCGGTGGCAGCATATTACAGCTGCACTAGATCTTATCCCGGTGCGATATGTTCCCTATACCTGTAGTCCGCAAGGTGGGCGTCCAGCAATCACTTAAATTCCGACATCGATTCCTCCTCGACTAGCGTCTCAGGAAAATTGTTTCAATATTGCACCAATCGACGCTCAGAGCATAGAGGTTAAGCGATGCGCTTCAAGACTGGTACCACCAGTTTGTATCGGTGTCCGCGTGGGCTGCTTGGTGCGAGAACGTGCAGCAGCGGCTTCCACACAGGGAAGTGCACCAGGTGCAGTATTTGGTGCGTCATTATGAGATCAACCCGAAGCTGGCGATTTGACAGGTCCTCGGAGGACATACCCCGTAAACTGGGGTAAGCCGAGTAGCTACATGCTGGACCCGTTCCAATATCTGCATCTCACCTATTGTGATCGGTAAATAGGCGGGTGAGCCATACTCAATTACCGATCTTATCATGAAGAAGAGAGACGGGTGACAACTTCTTCAGACCAAGTGCGGAAGTTGTGTCCAAGTGCCCAAAGCAGTAGTAGTCCATCTCCGTACAGCTGTTCGTGTTGTTGGCAGACTTCAGATCTAAGCATTACACTACACCTAGGTCCTTTACAGAGCATGTTTGATGCAGCTGTTACCCTGGTATGGTGTACGTACGCCCATTACCATCCTTACTCAGACACATAAATGACGACGTTGCCTGGTTGGTCGGCAGATCAACATCTACAGACCGCCGGGATAGGCGGTTATGGTCCTGCTGAAGTACATCACAATTGTCGGCAAATTCAATAACCCTCCACATCTTCAATTCACCTGTAAATAGTGCACAAGGCGACCGAAGAAGCTAAAGTACTTCATTGAGTGGATTAGGAATAAAATTTGCCCCAGCACTGTACCTTTGTGTGCACCGCTATTGGAGGAGTACCATTCCGTTAGATAGTCATCCACCTGAACCCACCATATTCTCCAAACAAGGAAGCCAATGACCCACCGGTGCAGTGCTCCACCGACACTACACATCCTCATGGTCCTCTTTATCGAAACCTTCACTGAAATCAATGTTGATAACATTCACTGACTTCCCCGATTCAACGCTTTCAACCATTTCTGCCACGTCAGCAGCAGGTTGGTGGTGCACGAGAGGGCCTACATGAAACCGTGCTGTGCATGCGTTAGGAGGTCTTTCGACTCTAATGGCTGGAGAAGAACTTTTTTATAAGCTTATCGAGCACTTTCGCAAAGGTAGAGGTCAGACAAAGCGGTCGATACTTATCAACTGTAGTCGCGTCGCAGCTCTTTTGGATCGGCTTAAGTACCGAACATTTTCAGTCGCTCGGCAATGCAACTTCAGACAATGATCGGTTAAACGGATCAGTCATAACAAGCGAGATGATGGCCGATAGAGACTTTAGAATTAGCGGATCGGAGGCCGTCGGGTCCGACAGGCTTCGTGGCGTCAAGGCTGGTGAGTAGACTGCGGACATTTTTCCCATTACAATCCAGGCACTCGAGTTCCGCAGGAGCTTCACAGGTCAAATTCGGCATACGTGCATGCCCATCTGTAAACACGGAGACAAAGTGCGCCGGCAATGCGGACGCACATTCGGCGTCGGAAGTCATAGCCTGTCCACACGAGCCCACTAAAACTGCTAGGTCACCTGCAGGTCTCAGGTGTCGCTTCAGGTTAACCAAAATCTTCCTTGGGGCCGACTTTGCTGAGGTTGCAAGCTTCTTTTCGAACTGGCGACGCGTAGAAAAAATAGCAGGTTATTCCAAACCATGGGACAGAGTTATTAGAGTGGAATTGGTACTGGGATTTAGTAATTACATTCTGGCGCGTTTACTAATTCATCATTTGGTCATGAGGAATGCTTATCACAGTGGTCAACGCTTCGCTGTGAGTTCTTCTGAGGTGACAGTAATGTGAACAGGTTTCGACGCGCAATCTCATTTTGGACGGTGATTACTTTTGCAGTGAATCAGTGCTACTTTTGTCCGTGGGACTCTGTCTGACGCATATCAATGACAGGAGTTTCCAGTCGCAACACACTGCACTACGCCACGTCGTTCATACGCACTCGCGCTCGTTACGTACAGGTTGCGGAGCCGCAGCTCGAACCTGGTATAGATGATAACTGTGTGTCGCCATGCATGCACCTTACCGAGGCTTCAAACAGCCAAAGTAAACGTTAACGTATGCCCTGGGATGTGATCCCTATTTACCTACGGCCAACCCACTTGAAGGTACTTGTGCTGAAACTTGTGCCGAAACAGATGAAACTCTACTGTTCTATAGTTATCTACAAAACAATGTTTTTTAGTAATTGCAGTCTGTGTAAAGCTTTTCATCCTTTCTACTGTACTTTCGTCATGTGGGGATTCAACACGTTAGATGTTCAGTTCAGACTACAGGCGCCGCTCAAGCGTATGCCAGTACAACTTGCTGCATGCCATGTTGCGAATCTGGAGCCGGATGCCATACAACCTGAAACACCACACGATATTTAAGCAAAAAGTGACTAATTATGGGAGACCACTATGTAGCGATGAATAAGACGGTCAGTCAGATAAGAATCCTTCTGTCTGACAGTCGGTGATTCATGTGCTAGTTGATGTGAGGATTTGCTTAATGGTTACTCCAAAATTGACATTTGCTCTGTCGAACTATATTTCAGGCGAAATGATGGCCGTTCGAATAGGTGATTCGGCAAAACTATGAAATATATATACTTTGGTTACTAGACACAATTACTTGCACGTGGCCACCTGCAGGCCACTTCAGGCCACATCGATTAGCTATCATCCTCGCGTCTAATCGCATCATTGTTTCTTTTTGTTAATCAGATATCCCCTCTTATCAAGACCATGAAAGCCCATGAACGCCTCCGATTTCTCTGTAGAGGACGACCGGAGAATGGAAAACCTGTGCCATACAACGGGATTTATGGCTGGGATCACTTTCACTCACAGATTAAACAATTAATTAGCATCCTTGCTCGAACCAACGTTGCACAGAATGTGAGTATTCGTAAAATTAGCCATTATCATCATGGTTTCACTTACTGTATAAACGCAAACCTAAAGTACACATAAACTCCGCTCTCTGAAATCATACTCTCAATGATAATACAAATGTAGTGTGCTTTGGTCGTGAGTTCACATTCCAACTCAATGGTTTTAAGCACTAGCGAACGTTAACCATGAGTACATACCGTGTAGTACCGGATCTAAACCGATGATTTTTGGACAATTTTTCGTTCCTGTATGGGTTATACGAAATTTTTATAAAGTCACGTGCAAAATCCACCAAGGAATCCATTGCACATCACTGCCCTTATATTCCTTAGCAGCATCCGCTGTGATAACGGGTCCGAATTACAGGTGCTTGGAACGATCCCATATGGCGGAGAGATGTGTTTAGGGGTAATTGAGGCATTCAAAGAAATAGGTCCACTACAGCCATTGGGGGATTCCAACATGGATAACTGATGGCAACGGTAGTCTGAAGGAGTTGAGCTACTTTCGGCCATTTCGGAGGGAGCTCTAGACTTAGCACGGATTAAAACGGTATGGTTCGCAGCGCAGTCAGCAACGGGGGCAGTGGAGGAATATAAGCTTGCTGCATTTGCATCAGAATTTATAATAGGGGAAAGTTTTGAACAATGAATTGGAGTAGCATAGCGATCCAGCTGTTTCAAGCGCTCTTTAAGGATGGGGTTATCAGCCATGTGTTTTTCCTCATCACTGGAGTCATCATCCTCGGAGGACGTTTCTGATTCGCTTTCAGATTCAGATTCCTGGGACTTGGCGAAAAGTTTTAAAGACGTTTTGGTATCGGCATCTGCCATGAGTTGAGTGCTTGCTTGGGACTGCGCAAGAATGCACCCGGTTGTCACGAGTTTTGAGTTGATTAGACCAGACATGATGTGTCTAAGAGCAAACAAAGTGACACGGGTGGCAAAAACATTAAAGTTTGATATGCGACGTCATTAATCGTTATGTAGCAGAAATAAGTCGGCTACTTCATGGAAGATGAACAAGGTGCGGCGACCTGATAGTAGGGAGCAGACCGGATCCGAAATTACCGATGAAAGGGTTAAGTGTGGCTGCATCCGCTTAGCAGCATCCGCTAAGGACGGACGATATTCCAAACGGGGATATGAAGTGCCTATAACAGAACAAGTTACTTGTGTCGAAAATTCTCAGTATATTGCACATTTGACGTTTGCGACGGATGACAGTAGCGAACCAAAAGCTCTGAAGCATTATGTTATAACAGACCATGCGGTGCCTTGAAAGTACAATGTTGTCCCACACATCTGACCGTGAACTTCGTTCTCACCCTGTGTGGTTCATATGCATGAGGCCCCCGACTGTGAGAGGCGACACCCTCTCACAGTACTGCCGTCTGTCTTGCCTGTTTCACGTGACTTAACAACTGGTCAATACACTATCCTGTGCGGGGAAAGTCTGCTCTGAAGTCCCTGGGCCCCCATTACCGCGATTACGGTTGTCATAACTGACCAAAACTTTAGCACGTTTCCCTTGAAGCACTCAAGTGAGAGCGGGTAGTAATGAGCTAAATCGTGACGAAAAAATTTCCTTTCGCTTTTGTTGCATTTTTAGGATGGGCTAATACAGAATTAGGAATTAGGACAAACTTGACGGTGCGAAGTTATGCTGGCGGCCCATCTATGGATGGGATTATTTACGTTAATATACGATAATTGGAAATATTGGACGGAATTAACAGTTCCAATGATCCACAGATTAGCTTGTTGGCCTTATCAAATCACTCCGATTCTGGCATGTTCGATTCTCGGTACTTCTAAGCAACTCGCCGATAGCGGGTGCTTCCGTGACCAGGACAAAAGAGGCTGCAAATGTTTGGACGTAAAAGTTGGGTAGCTTCGTTAAATCACCGAGTACCGGTACAGAAAAACGACCAAGGAATCCTACGGAAAACCAGTGTTTGACTTGATATCATGAAATTCTTTTTCATCAGCGGATACACAGACACACAATCGAGTAAAGGGATTTGTAGAATAAATCTGACGAATATCATAGAATTTTTAAAGCATTGAGTACATTGAATTAACTTGGATAGCACAATAAGCTGAATGTTGCAAATGGTACCAATTCTTGCCTTCTGCTAACTTGCAAATAGACAACATATCAAATGATAAAGTGAAAAAAGGAAATCAATGAGTTGAAAGCGTGAGGTCACATGCAAGCGATGTGCACGTTGGCTACAGGTTAAGGAGGAATTATTAACCCCAAGGGAATTTAAGCGTAACAAACAGTTGATTTTGGACGCACAATGTTGGAGAATGCATTTCTATGGCTAATGTCCCGGTGAACTTTAGGACTCTGGCATTTCGTTACGATAGATGACACTAAACGGCGTGCTGGGGTCCATCTGATGCCCCATTTCTAGTAGGTGTTTCGCAATCGAAGAAGCAGGTATGCTGTTCATGGACACAGGTCTCGTTTGCTGTTGCCTTGTCAAGGTAACGATACGCTTCGGAATGTGCTCCCCAATCCGTTTACACAAGCAATGGTCTATTCTGCCGAGGTAACTGCTTTCACAGTTACAACAAGATCGCTAGATACAGTGCGTTGTGGCGGAGACCGGCTCAGTAGGCTTGACTGGGGCAGTCGCAGCTTCTTGACGGTCCAGAGAAGGCAGAATTTAGTGGCACCGAATGCACGCCGTATTGCAACTGCTGTGCGTCGTTCTACCTGCCGAACCAGAACACCCATTGAACGGTAGTCGCAGATAAACAGGCATTTTTGGTACAATAAGAACGATCGGCTGTGCACTTTCCGCGGTGCAGCTATGGAACCTAATAAAGGCTTCTGGGTAGCAATTTGCCCGTAGGGTCTGCGTGATGAATTTGCAATTCAGCCTCGATGCATTCCGCATTACATATTCTGCGGGCCCGATGGAACAACGTTTTGACATAACATCGCTTGGATTGAACCGGTGTAAAACAGCTGAAGTATTCATACAAACCGGTCCGTGTAGGTTTCCGGTAAACGGTGCGCTGTACCGTGCCATTTTCTCGCCTCGTCAGTAGTACATCCAGAAAAGGCAGGCGGTTATCATCCTCAACTTCACAGATGAAGCGGGCATTTGGGTGTGCAGCGTTCATAACTCTGAGTACGGACTGAGCCGCCTTTAAGAATGGTGCGATCACCAATGTGTCGTCCACATACCTCTTGTAAAGGCACATTCGTCCGAGGTGTGCTTCACAGCGCGACTCGACCATCGCCATGAAGACGTCCGTCAGGAGACGGCCAAGGGGAATCGCAATAGCCACGCTATCAACCAGTTGATGTGCCTGTCCCTGCGATGTCAACTAGCTTATCTTGAAGGCAATTATAGTACGCTTGAGATGTTGGTCTTTGCCTAGAGGGTTGATCAAGTAGACTTTCAAGTTTTGCCGCAACCCGAAAGCTATTGACTTTCTTTGGGGCGATTTAGGAATATACACCCAATGATAGAGATACGAGTTGTTTCCTATTCAATGAAAGATATTTCATCTACATCGTTTCCGAAAGATCTAAGTTGCTCCTTAGTCAGCTTTCTTCTAGCTCTATCAATGACAGTTTTGCAAATCTACATGTACTTGATTCGACAGACTAACGGTAAATAATCCACTGTGGAAGTACACCCTTCATGTGTCTCCAACAACTGTGATATGATTCTGTTGGCCTCTTCCAAGTCTGAATTGGTAAACCGTTTTAGGTTTATGAGTCTTGGCCTCATTCCTCCACAGCAATTTGAAAAACTATCGGGGGTACATAGAGTTTCGTTCGCACTCACAGAGAAAACGAATACGCATTTTCTCGGTGGCAATCTTGCACTTCGAGCTTACCAATCTATCAAAGATTTTGGTCTTGTCAGTCGGAAGCCTTCGTCTTAGAAATCTGAAGCATTGAATGCCCTGTATTAACTTGAATAGCACAATAGGAAGACGAATGTTTCAAGGTGATACGATTTCGTGCTCTCTGTTCACTTGCAAACGGACAACATATCAAATAATAACGTGACCTAAAAGAAAGCATCAAGATGAAAACGGGTGGTCACATACAAGCGAATTAAACGGTGGTTACAGGTTGAGGAGAAAATTATTAACTCTAAGGGAGTATGAACACAACGAACAGTTGCATCTGGACGCACATTAAAACGCCACCTGATTTCAGAACCAAACGCTTAATATTGTTGAAACCGGACAAAGGTACGGGAGTAGTCACAATGGATAAGTCGGATTATAAAAACAAGATGGAAGAGATTCTGAAGGACAAGTCAAAATTTCATATGGACGAAAGTGCAACCAACATAACCCAAATTGAGAATATGGTAAGCAAACATCTGCAAATATTGTTGTTTCATAGAATGATAACACAGGTGACATACAACGCTGTTAAGCTGTTGGGCACCGATATCCTCCAGATATATGGCCTACCAAATATATATAATGATAATGTCCCGCTCAGACCAATATTATCCATGCATAACTCACCGTACGGCAAGCTAGCAACTTGGCTAGTTGAACAACTGACGCTAGTTAGAAAGGTGATTGTCAAACACACCTTGAAAGATACCTTTGAGTTAATTGAACAGTTACGCAAAAGCATCATTTCGGACAAGGTGGTGTGTTCCAGCAATGTACAGTCCTTGTCTACCAACATTCTTCTGAGAGAAACAGTGGGTTTCTTATGTCTTTGTCACCAGTGAGAAAGTGCCTCTGCCGATTCCTGTGGATTATCTCAAGAATTTGTTGCTAATCTGCATGGAAAACGTATCATTTATGTTCGAAGGACAGGCACATCAACAGGTTGATAGCGTGGTTATTGCGATTCCCCTTGGCCGTCTCCTGACGGACGTCTTCATGGCGATGGTCGAGTCGCGCTGTGAAGCACACCTCGGACGAATGTGCCTTTACAAGAGGTATGTGGACGACACATTGGTGATCGCACCATTCTTAAAGGCGGCTCAGTCCGTACTCAGAGTTATGAACGCTGCACACCCAAATGCCCGCTTCACCGGTGAAGTTGTGGATGATAACCGCCTGCCTTTTCTGGATGTACTACTGACGAGGCGAGAAAATGGCACGGTACAGCGCACCGTTTACCGGAAACCTACATGGACCGGTTTGTATGAATACTTCAGCTGTTTTACACCGGTTCAATCCAAGCGATGTTATGTCAAAACGTTGTTCCATCGGGCCCGCAGAATATGTAATGCGGAATGCATCGAGGCTGAATTGCAAATTCATCACGCAGACCCTACGGGCAAATTGCTACCCAGAAGCCTTTATTAGGTTCCATAGCTGTGTTCTGCACTGTGTGCTTCTCTCACTGCTGCGTTCCTGTGAGTCTCCGGTCACCCACTGGTGTGAATACTGACTGCCAGTTGGGAACGATATTACACATGAAGCATGTCTGATTGATCTGATGGGTCTGAATAGGTTCCTCTTTTCGAAAAACCATACTGCGCATGATTTATCCGCCTTTGGTGACCACAGCACACGTCGATTCGCTTCCCGGTTTGTTAACTAAAACGTGTTAGCAAGCATTGCTTAATACGTTGTGGCAAGTTGGATAAAGGGTGCCATTGCTCGTATATATATCAACCTCATGCTTTAGTATACGACTAAATAATTCTGTTGCCATTGGAGCACTTGCTAAGCATGCGATGTTTACAATTTCCGCAGGATATCCGCGAAGATTGCCGTTATTTGAAACACCGAGTCTCGAACTTGGAAGAGGCGAATTCCAGACTATGTAGCTTGGTACAGCAACGATATCCGGAGTGTATGCATTCATGCCACAGTCTCAGTTGGATAGGATTGGGAGCGATACAGCCTCCCAGCGAATTGTCAACTCCTGGCGGCGCGGCGAAAAACACCCAACTCAGGAATAAACCTCTTGAGGAGAGCGAAGCTTCGAGAGGTTCTGAAGAATTACTTCCTGATTCAACATCGAGACGAAATAAACCTTGTAATCCGGTCAATTTCAAAAACGTGAAGTCGAACGGCAGCGGTGAATTGACCATTGATGAGAAGCGCGCATTATTAAGGATGTTATTAAGCGTTCCAATTTACGTCAGCTTTTCTTCTGCCATAAGCCACAGTATGGAAGAGGGGCGGTTAACAATGAGAGTGAGTAATGCATTGTTTTCAGAGTTGTTGTGGCATCACATCTATGAATGACGCTGCTTAAACTGCATACTTTAAAAAGAGTTTCACAAGATATACGTTGTCGGCCGAAATAACTTGTCATCAGTGAGGTGTACTAAGAGAAAATGCATTGCAAAGCGCAAATGTCAACGTCATACTAAACTGTGATCAGTTTCCAAAAGGATTCACAATCAAGTGGATGTGCAGGCACATACAACCGTGCCCACAAAAAATTTTCTTATACCTACTAGCTCGCGAAAATTCAATTGTACAAGACTTTCTGTACCGTATACCACTAGACATATACAAATTGTAAGGAGTATGCGTAACGCCCCCTGTAGTTTGGGCACTACGTACGTACACCGGTGAATGTTACGATACGCAGTGGAAGTTCGCCTTGTGTTCAACATATGGACGTGAGATCTATCGCCTAGTATACTATACCATATTTCTAGCAAGGTAAACATCCACTGGCATTATCGTAGCTGGCATAATCGTCGTCAGGTTTATCTTGTATCTATTCTTATTACAGGAAGCTCTGGAAGAAAAGAGATCGATACCCACTTGTCGGCTGTTAAATATATCATCACCATCGCTCCAGTCAAGCAAGCGCTGTTTAATCAGCCTAAACACTCGCGAGCACCTTCACTTTCCTTACATTGACCAACCGGACCGAAAACACACTACACCACGTCTCACGGGCTCACTGGATTCAGACATCGACCTAACTTCAGAAATAATCGAAAGGAGAAATCCAAAGGACTCATACGGCAGACTATCGTCGATATTTCTCAATAACAATTCGAGTAACCGAGCTACGCACGAAATTGCACTGTTATCAGGCGATTGCATACAGATATCATCCACTTCCTCTCGTGGACCACAACAACTCCCATTTCGGGCTACAGGTAATCACACCCTGTGGAGCCTAACCTTGCCCATGTTCCCAATACAGAATATAATCCAACAGTACAGAGGCCTTTCGATTTCATTTATAGGTGAACCACCAGGTTGGAAGAATGATAGGCCAAACTCTTCCGTACCGGCCGTTTCATCAGAGGCTGCAACTTGTCAAATGATAGTGAACGATGTACAGTTACGGATGATCGGAGAAGTTAACTCATATGGAGATACCCCTTGCGGTAAAGTTACTGAAAGCCAGCTGGGACATTCGGCTGCAAAGGCCTCTGTAGACACACTCAGGGCGCAATCAGTAAGTGAGAAAATCAACGCCAATAGTCACTTGGAACAATGGTCCCCATCTATGAACCAAAGCATATTGTGCAGGTGAGTATTTTTAAGATAACTGTGGTGTGCAATTTGTAACGTAAGTACTATGATTTGAGAACAACTTTGGTCCTTGTCTGGCAGCGGTTAAGGCCGCGCTAGTGGAGTGAGGTATTCTTCGGATTATATGATTAGATTCTCTTAGTGTACAGTAAATAAGGGCCAAATAGAAAACACTCAAACCGCATTTTAATGATCATATGTCAGAGTTAGCTATACGTCACTGAGATCAGTTAGTACGGGCCGCTAAGATGTTAATTAAAAAAATAATACTTCCTCTGACCTGAAACTCCTATCGGATGGGCTAGACCAAATGGGGCTGAAAATTAGGAATTGCAATGAGTGTAGCTCCTCACAACGGCTGTCGTAGTTTGGCAGCCTAACATCAAATAGAAAAGTGCATACGTTAACTATCATTTGTTATGAATGCAGTATAAACCAGAGGAAACGGGATCACACTGTGCAAGATAAGCTGTCCGTCTGCAGTGAGGAGAAGCGTAAGAATTAAAACGGATCTCTGCGCACGGCAACCGGCCAACGCTAACAAGCCCACGGCACAAAAACCGCCATTGCTTTCGGCCACTGAGATCCGATTAACATTCGACACGATGACGGGATAATCTTTACTAGCAATGAATGAATTTCTCTCGTGCGTAGACAGTAATGAGGTGCGACACTCCGTCATATGCAGACAAGCATATACAGAGTGCTGGGATTGTGTGTGACAGGACATTGTATGTTTAGCTCTAGTCAGGTTTCAGCCAAACGGTTGATAAAGGTACTACAACCTCCCTCTAAGAGTCCAAGTGAATTGCTCAATGATCGTCTTCGCTAGTCGGAACATTGTGCAATAAATTTTGGTAAACCGGGATACTCTTCAAAATACCACCTCGTGTAAGGTACGAAAACAGTTTATAAGGCCTTCTTCATGCTTGAAGTGTATAGGCTCATCCTATATGCATTTTATGATTGATTTCGTGAATATATTTACGAAAATCTCGCAATCCGCGCACACTCACCAAACGATCTCTAAATCTAACACAGCATGGCTGAATGTGCAAGCAGTCGTTTAAATGGGTGGGTGATATATTTCGTCGTGGTGCGACGTAGGTTGAATCTTAAAGATTCACATCAAAGTGTACAGCGTATGGAACTGTTACAACCAGATGAATCAGCACAATGACGGGGAAATGAAAGTATAGCCTAAGCAACGGTGCATACAGGCAACGTATAGAAACAAACAGCAAGCAAGCAAGTAACGTGAGTGCTGAGTCCAGTGTTTGCTCAGACGGGGAGGGATTTGGCCAATGAGTGCAAGGAGAGGAAGGACGAAACACACACACACGCATTGATGGACACCCACACACACATGCGTACATTCGCAGTCAGTAGAAGCGACTGGAAACATTGGCTGAGGGCGCATCACTTCTTCCCCCCAGTAGTTGTAAGTATGCCGTTTGGAAACGCTCAACCGCTCGGCGATCGCGGGTTGATCTGCACAGCGGCGCTTCGGTTTCAGGGGGTGAGTCATTCGCCCGCATGTCGTCCAATACTGCGGGTGGAGAATTTGGTTCACAGGTGGAATCGGATGTTGACGACCTTGGCCGAATGTGACCCATGTGAGGCCGCACGATTTTGCTGTCCTCAGTCTCTGCCTTGAGGATCTGCCCGTTAGCCCGTTTGACAAGGGCTGGTTGCCATTGGTCGTCTGTAGGCAAATGTATGTAGATTGGATCTGACTTGGTTACAAACCTGTTTCTACTAGGAGCATCAAAGCGTTCCTACACCCGTTCTTGTTTTTTGTGAAATTCAGCTGCCAGAGTTCTATGCAGTAAGTGCACTTGAGTACACAAGCGGCGGTCGACCATAATCTCCGCAGGACTTCTTTCGGTGGTATCGTTCCCTATATTTCGGTAAGCAAAAAGAACAGGATCTAGAAGCACACGCAATGGCGCACCGGTTTGTTTGAGCATCATATTTTTCACTGTTTTTACAACCCTTTCAATCACACCGTTCAAAGGCGGATGGTAAGGGGCGGTAGTCACGTGTCTAAATCCATTTGAGGTGAGAAAAATGGAAACCTCGGTGCTGGTGAACACAGATCCGGTGTCAGATACAAGTGTTTCGGGAAGTCCAAAAGTAGCGAACGTAGTGCGTTGTTTGACTATTGTGCTAGCTGAGGTCGCTGTGGCCAGAATGTAAGCATAAATCCACTCAGAATGCGCATCAACTATAAGCAGAATCATTTCTTTCGAATGGACCGAAAAAGTCCACTGCACACGTTTCCAGGGCATCTGGTCATGTCCAGTGCTGTATCTGTATGTGGAAGACAGCGTTTCGAGATTCCTTGCAAAGCGTGCAACATCCAACTTTTACCGCAATGTTGCCATCCAATCCGTGCCACCGTACATAGGAACAGGGCAGTGTCTTCATCTTATCATCTTAGCAACATCTTATCAACTGCCTTGAAAGTATTATGGTGAACAACGTTCCATTTCTACAACTGATTCTTGCGCAACGGTTGACGAGCGAATGTAAGTAATTTGATGCTGCTGTTATGGACCTAGAGAACTGAGTGACTGCTCTTAGAAAGAAGGGTAGTTCGTTTACCATTTTGGGCGCCGGTGCTTTAAGGAGTGCCACGATTTGCTTTTCTAGCGGATACAACCTCTCGCGCGAGAGTTTGTAGCCAAGAAATTCACACTTTTCTTTCTTCATTATCAGCCCGGAGTTTAATAGACTTTTTAGAATTAGATCCAGGGTGTGCAGAAGTTCAGCAGTTGTGTGCCCGGTAATTAGGATGTCATTCAGATAGGCATGTGTATTTGGTATGTTTTTCACTGGAGAGTCAATATTTCGTTGAAATATGGACGGTGCAGAGCTTATTCAGAGCGGCATGCGTATGTAAGGAAATAAACCAAGATGTGTCTTGATGGTGATGAAAGCACGTGCATCCTTGTCTAGTTTAATCTGCTGGTAGGCGTGGCTCAGATCCAGTTGGCTAAAAAGTTCGCCACAAGTGAGAGGCGTAAATATCTTCAAGTACAGGCAGTGGATGTCGATCTGGCTGTAGTGCATGTTTGATTGCAACTTTGTGGTCCTCACAGAGCCTTACTGTATCATCGCTTCTCAATACAGGCGCTATAGGGGCAGGCCAATCGGAATACTGGACGGGTTCAATTGTACCCTCTTCTAGCAGTCGGCGCAGCTCAGTCTCGACCTTGTCCCGAAAAGCACAAAGTACGGTGCGCGCTTTCCAGAATCTCGGTGTAGTTTGTAGTCTCAGTATCAGTCGGGTCGCGGAATTCTTCAGCAGGCCTGTCTTAGTTTGATCAAAAAGAGGTACATATTTTTGCAAAATCCCAAATAGTTGTAGGCAAGCATCAACAGTGTTGACATTTGACATGATACCCCGAAGTCGTCTAATGCCATCGCGACCAAGCATGTTTGGACCTGGTCCCCCAGAAACATAACCACGGATTTCATCTGTCGAATGGCGGTAGGAGATATGTGCAACAAAGGTACCCAACACCTTTATCAACTGTTCGGGTGTGATCGTAGATGTATTGGAGGGGGATCCAGTTTTGGTAGTTGCGACAGGGCATCGGGTAGTATTAGCAACTGCAGAACCTACATCAATTTGGAAATCAACGGGTTGCTCGTTTACCTTGATAGGCACAACGAACGGTTTCTCCGTTGTTATCTTGTGAGTGAAAACTGTTGTGATGTTTATCTAGTTCTAGTTTAAATCCTCAGTAATATGATTCACAGCTTTGGACTTGTCCGCACAACGAAATTTCGTTTGGTAAGACAAACTTTCTAGATTTGTCCTCTTTTCCCACAAAACCTGCATAATGAGTGAAGATACTCGCAATCAGCCGGATCAGAATGCTGCTCGCCACAAGGATAACAACGGAATTCTCTGCTCTGTGCTTATTGAGACAATATGTGCTCACGCTTTGTTTGAGTGACTTTGTTTACCTCCTGTGAAAGTATCTGATCGGAAGAGGAGAATGCAGTTAGTTCCTGAACGTGATTAGCACGTTGTCGAACTACATTAAAAGTTTTTTCCTAACTAAGGGTCTTTTCGTCTTCTGACAAAAGACGCTCGCGCGCTTTGTCGTCAAGTACACCAACGAGCAATGCTTGTAAAACATTGCTTTCTTGAAGTGAGTTGGCCTGATCTGGTCATAGGCGCAAACAGGAAGGGCAGTAAGGAGTCGAGGAATAAATTCATTTACAGTTTCACTAGGTTTTTGCCTCATGGTGATAAATTTGTACCGAGCTGTGAACACGTGTGGTTTTCCTCCCCACAGTTGGTCAAGGGAGTAGAACACAGTTTATGAGTCATGTTTCGTGTGCAACAGTAAACTAGCAAAATGTCGCTGTCCTTCGTTACCGAGGTGGGGACGGAGTAATTTAAGCTTTGCTGCATCATAAATCGCACTGTTCTTGCCAAAAAGCACAAGTAAATACACGGAATTAGTGAAAGTAGTCTTGCACTGCTTCCATTGTTGCGTCAAAGGAGTTTCCGGGGAAGAATTCCAAAACGGCTGGGGTTATGTAATTGAAATTGCCATAAGTGATCCAAATAACCTCCGTGGTCATTTTGTTACACCCAGATAAAACAGCACAATGACGGGAGAATGAAAGTATATTCTAAGCAACGGTGCATACAGGAAACGTATAGAAACAAACAGCAAGCAAGCAAGTAACGTGAGTGATGAGTCCACTGTTTGATCAGACATGGAGGGGTTTGGCCAATGAGTGCAAGGAGAAGAAGGAGGAAACACGCACACAAAATTTGATGGACACCCACACCCACACACCCACACACACACGCGTACATTCGCAGTCAGTAGGGGCGATACGGAACACTGGTTAAGGGAGCATCAGGATCACTCAACCATTCCGAAAGTAACTCGCTTTTATATTCCGAGAAAGTTATTTGCAGTACCCGGTCCGTTAAAATATAAGCATTTAGTTTCCACAGGCTCATC